GGACCATTAATTTTGACAACCACCCAGATGAAGATGCACTTGCTGCCCTCAGGGCATCGGGCCATCCCCTTAGTCCAGTGGGATGGCCGACAGTTTCCTGTGCCACCTCCGGCGCAGACGGCTTATACCCAGACCCCCAAAAGGATCTAAAAAATAGATCCCCTAATTTGGGACTCTAACTACTAAAGGGTACTTTATAGGAACTCCCTTAGGAGATCTTTTTTTTAGATCCTTTTGGGGGTTTGGGTAGGGTCTAGGGTTTGGGCCAGGGTTTAGGAAGGGGGAGGAAGCAGTTGATGTGTTTTGCGTTTTAGTTTCCGTCAATTTAGGGAAAGCCGCTTGTTGAGATGACTTTGCAAGATCGATCCGGGAAACGTGTGCCGAACTTGGCCAACCAAGCAGCACCAGGGGGGGTCCCTAAGACCCTAAGGTTTAGGTTATAAACCCTCAACCCTAAACCCTGAACCCTGAACCCTAAACCCTAATTGAGGGCTCAGGTCTTCAATCCTACAAGCCCTGAGTCCTAAACCCGGTCTTTAGGGTTTAGGGTTTAGGGTTCATACAACATTGCTTTAACACTTGCGCTTGCTATCTCCTAGGCCCTAGACCCTAGAAGCTAATTCAAGGAGTCCTGAAAAACCCTAAACCCTGGACCCTAAATCCTAAACCCAAACCCTTAAAGGAGCCCCCCCAAGCAACCTAAAATCTTGAACCCTAAACCCTTAAAGGAGCCCCTTCTCAGGGAACCTGAATCTTGAACCCTAGGAACCCTTACCTAGACCCCCAAAAGGAGCTAAAAAATAGATCCCCTAATTAGGGACCCTAACTACTAAAGGGTACTTTATAGGAACTCCCTTAAAGGATCTGTTCTTTAGATCCTTTTGGGGGTTTGGGTAAAGGATCCCAGAGAGTGTAAAGCCACCCTCTGAGCTGCTCTAACCTTAAGGGTACTTAGAAATAATTTTTAATCTTTGGCTACTATAAACCCTAAGAAGCAGCTGAAATTGTAATTTTTGCTAGGGGTCTACGTGCAGTATAGTAACGCACTAGTCTAGGGGCTATTTTGGGTTTTGGCTTTCGGGATTTAGGGATTTTAGGGATTTTAGGGTTTAGGGTTTAGGGCCTACATAATTACATATACTATTTTTTTGTTTTGGGGAGGGGGGTTCCTTAATATATTTTTTGTATAAGATACCCCAAAACCCTATTCTAAGGATGAAGGCCCCTATATGAAAGCACCCTAAACCCTAAACCCTAAACCCCAAAGCACTATTTTGCTTTCGAGGCACGGCTGTGCCGGGGGTGTCCCACACCTGCCGCCAGGCACATGGGGCACAGTTGCGGGTTTCGGGTAACAGGGTCTACAGGGGTTCGGGGTTTGAGGTTTGGGGTTTAGGGGTCTACAGCCTAAACCCTAAACCCTATACCCTAAACCCTAAACCCTACAGGGTTTAGGGGTCCACAGCCTAAACCCTAAACCCTATACCCTAAACCCCAAACCCTACAGGGTTTGGGGTTTAGGGTTTAGGGTAATCGAGTCTACACGGGTTTCTACCAGGTAGTTCGGGAGTTGTGCAAAGTATTACGGGCTTAGGGTCTAGAAGTTTAGCTCGGCCCTTGAGGTTTTTTTGTTTTGGAATGTTGGGTTTAGCTCTAAATACTCAGAGGCTGGCTAGGTAACCTCTAACTTTTTTGGCTTTCTGTTATCCTACCATAATTCCAAATCTCAACCTTTGTTGGGCTAGGGTGTTCAGATTCAGCAATCCACCCAAGGTCTGGCTGTAGGGTCTCGAGTTACGATTTAGGGTTTCGAGGTAGGCTTAAGGTTTTTTTAGAGTTTGAGTTTGGGTTTAGGGTTTAAGTTTTAAGGCTTGGGGCTTGACCTGGGGGTTTGGGTTGAGGTGTTCTGGGCTTTTGGCTTAGGGGCCTTTAGATTTAAATCCGGAGCTGAAGTCCTAGACCCTAAACCTAAATCCGAAGCCCTACATTACAAGGTGCAAAACCTAAGACTTGGACCCAAGATACGAAAACGAGAATGCCAAAGACGCTGATGAAACCAGAACCCCAACTACGGAAGGGTTTCGGGTCTACCTGAAGAACCCAAAACCTACTTTTTTGTAGGGTCCCTATAAATCCCATATGAGGTTTTATAATAAGAACCCACAAAAAAGTGGGTTTGGGGTTCTTAAGGTAGGGTGGCCCTCAACCCCTAAACCCTAAACCCTAAACCCTGAACCATTGGACCAGGCTATCCACCTCACCGCGTAGCAGGACCCAGTGCTTCCATGGAGGGTTTTGGCGGCTCCGGGTTTAGGGTTTAGGGTTTAGGGTTTAGGGTTTAGGGTTTAGGGTTTAGGGTAAATTGAGGTTTGTGTGTGTGTGTGTGTCTGTGTGTGTGTGTGTCTGTGTGTGTGTCTCTGAATGCTTTTCATTTTTGTGGTGACATGGACCCAGCTGAAGGGTGATAAGGCAATGAAGTGCGGTTAGTATAGGGGCCTAAATAATTACCAGTAGTAGTTTGAGGGGTTCCTTATTGTTCATTATACCCCAAAACCCAGCTATTCTAACCATTAAGGCCTCTATATTATGGCCAATAGGGCTTATAAGTCTCGGCTTCGGGATTCGCGAATCACTGGAAAACAGGATCCTTAACAGTAGGACCCTTGAGTGGTACCACAAGGGGACCCTTCTTAGCCCTACTTGTGGCTCTCTTAAAAGGGACCTTATTAAGAGGGTCTATATCCCCAACCCTAAGCCCTAAATCCTCAACCCTAACCCTTGCTCCTACACTGGGGATCCCAGTGCAGCACCCCCGTCCTCAGAAAGCAAACAACGAAGACATATGCCCAAGGGCCCCCCTAATCCTGACTCCTAGGTAAGAAAGCACGAAGTTCATAAGTCCTACACCATGAGCCCTTGAACCCTAAACCCTCAACCATAAACCCTAAACCCTCAACCATTAACCCTAAACCCTAAACCCTAAGTCCTACACCATGATCCCTTGCAGCCTCCAGGCAAGCCTTCCGCTGCGACGGTTGGTGAAGGTTTAGGGTTTAGGGCTAAACCCTAAAGTAAACTCCTAAGCTCAAACCCCTAAACCCTAAACCCCAAACCACTCCTGAGGGCGCCAACTTGTGATTTACTACAAAGTATCCCAAAGCCCTGTTCAAATTATTACGGCCCGTATATGAAGCCATGTCCAACCTCTTTGTTGAAGGTTGCTGGCATTTTGGGGGGTCCAGGGTCAGAAGACTTTGTTCATAGTACAGTTGCTCTTATAGTCCCTATGTAATTACACTCTACTATAGCCCTAAACCCTACTCCAATGAACCCTAAACCCTAAACCTAAACCCTAAAACCCTAAGCCCCAAACCCTACTCCAATCCTTCATGCCCCTATACTAAGCCGTTATGATTGCGGGTCCAGGGTTTGTGAAGAAGCCGTGTGGGAAACAGATCGGTTGAAATCCGGCATTTTAGGGTTTAGAGGTTTGGGGTTAGGGTTTAGGGGTCAGGGTTTAGGGGTTAGGGTTTAGGGTTTAGGGTTTAGGGGTTAGGGTTTAGGGTTTAGGGTTTAGGGTTTAAGAGGGCAGAAGACACGACTTCATGTCAGAAGCTGTGAGGCC